CTTTCCGAACTCCAAAACTAACAAAAACGTCACAAAATGACATCATAATATATACACAAAGTCTTCCGAACTGTTTCAGCTGGAAATCATGCAGATACCTTAAGGCGGAGTTAGTACAAGTCTTGGCTACCGAGTGGAGTAGTGACAAGAAAATGGCGGAGTAAGTGGGTTGTTCATTGCTAGCTGTGTTATTGATCTAGGGTCGGGAAGCATGGAGAGGCCAGAGATAGCCAGACTAAGGAACAGAAGTTGGGCTTTGGAGAAACGCCATCAGTGCGCGCTCTGCAAGCAATATGAAGGTGCAGCAAGAGCGCGGTGAATGGATAATGTGCTTATGGACAGTGAGGAAGAAGGAGAAGAGCTGAGTGCAAATGGAAGATGTGTGTTGAGGAAGAATGACGCCAAGTACAAACCATATTCTGCTGTCTCTGATGGCTCAGAAATTGAACCCTTACGAGAGTGGGGATGAATTACTTGGGTTGGCAGGTGTGGTGAAGACCTCAGAGTCCTAGCCTCGCCCTGATGGTCATGCAAAGGATGATTTGGGTCCAGTGGGAGTGACATTTTGGCTGATCCATATGTGGTCTCAGGCTGGGTAGAAAATAAGTTGGGTATTTTTAAATCGGTGAAGGTAACTCGAAGTGGGTTCTTCCATCCAGAGGGAATTGGCGCTTTGCTACATGCGACTAGGGACAAGACCTGTGACTTGCTTTGCTCTCCGGAGCAGGGCGCCTTTGAAAGTAGTGATTACTGGAGTGGCGTTAAGTGTTGAGGTGGAGCAACTGAAATAGAAAATTATTTGTCTGTGATGCCCGCTATTTGGTGAGACGCAGACCCGGTGGCGAGCGTGGTGAAACTGAGAAGACATTGTCTGTCCTTTTGAGTTTTGAAGCAGAGTCTTTACCTGATAAAATCATGTTAGGATATGTCAGTTATCCAGTGAGAGCATTTGTGCCGAACCCACTAAGGTGTTTCAGATGCAAAGCTTATGGTCATGTTGCAGCAGTGTGTGGGAGGGAAATTCTGAGATGTGAGAAGTATGCAGGAGAGCATGGGACAAAGGAATGTGTAGTATCAGTGGGAAAACTGTGTGTGTCAATTGTGGGGGTGCCCCTGTTGCTGGGGATCAGAAGTGTCCTGTGCGAGAGACACATGTTGAGATTGCCAGGGTCAGAGTAGAACAGAAGGTGTGATATGCTGAGGCAGTGAAGAGAGTAGAGGATGATGGGTCAAGGGTGAGTAGTAGGCCTAGACCAATACAGAGTGATACAAAGTTGTGCTTCAGTAAGGTTGGCTTCTTAGCATTCATTGCCATGGTTATCATCTGTACTGCAGAAATGGAACATACATCACAGAAAATAGATGTTGTGGTGACAGCTGCAGAGAAGTACTTGGTTGTACAAGATTTTACTGCAGAAGAGTTACAAGGTGTGTTAAACAAAAGACTCCAGTCCTCCCAGGCTGTCAGCCTGGTGTAGGATCAGTTAGGGTGAAAGTAGTGGAAGGGGGGGGGGGGGGGGGGGGGGGGGGTGATTTTCATTAAATAGTGGTGGTGCAATTTTTCCTTTTCCTCTTTCCTTTATATTTTTTTATCACAAAATGTAAGGTGATTCAACCCACACTACCGCACAGTAGGTGGTGGCATGTACAAACAAAATGTGCGAACGCCATGATACCAAAGAAGAAGAAGTCTTGGCTACCTCCCCCTTTGTTGGGTGGTGCGCCATTTCGTGCAGGGTTGAAGCAGATTATTTTAGCCGCAAGACGACTTCGGTACTAGCTATATTGAGCGATTTTGCTGAAATATAAGCCATTTAAATCTTTAAGCTCCTGGTGAGTATTTTTATTCAAGACTGTTTTAACATTTTTCTGACTTTGCAGTATCTTTTGAATTTTATTTTTTAACGCCATGTATTTTTCTATTTGAGCGAGCGGCTAGCTAGGTAACGTTAGCTTATTATGGTTCCATTGCGTTTGAACAATCTAGCTAGCTAGATGGCAAATTGGCCCAACAACATCCTAGCTACCAGGATCCCATAAAAATTTTTTGCTACAATTTTTGCCAGCTTTTGTTGTCTTGAAAACTGAGTTGTATAAACCGAGCTTTTTATGACGATATCTGCGACGACTGCTTTCTCAATTGACGATAACACATTGAACTGCAGCGGTTTTGTGTTAACTTTGTTGGTTGGCTAGCCTGTAAACTAACTTAGCTAGCTAACCTTGTGGAATTTATTTCAATTTCGACAGATTTTTTTGCTAGAAATCCATATTCCGTGTTGCACATTAATTTTGGCCGGTGTTTTTATTTTTTTGTCATTGATTAGCTTGTTTTGGAGTCAAAGACCGGTAAAGGAACGCTATTTTTGCGGGAATGTTTTCTTTCTGCAAGAAATGCTGGTTGTCCATTTTTCTCTGGACACGTTTTTCACATTACGTTAGCTAGCTAGCGAATTCATTGATATTTTAGGTCCATAACCGTAATATGAATGTGACAGACGACGAAGGACATTTGCACTTTTTGTTACACTAATTAAAAGTTACTTTGTGAATGATGCAGTTATGTACTTTGTTCTTGCTCAGTCTCACTTTGCTAGACCCAAAAGCAAGATAAAGCTAGCTAGATCACAGCTTTATCTAATATAGTATTCGTCTTTGACTACTAGTTAGCTAGATGGTGCAGATTGAGGTTATTTAGGCCTTCCTTGCTAGGGGTGGGCTGGTCAAATTGTGTATTCTTTAATTAACCTGATTTAATCAAGGTGCAGCTTACACTGAACAATAGTGTTAAAGATATCAGTAAGTGGCGTTGAAAAGCGATTCTAGCTACTAACATTTACTTTGGAAGTCAGGTGGTGAATCATGAATGTTCTGCTCTGGTCAGTTGTGGTGCTGTGCCTCAGGCCCCTCCCAGCCAGAGACCCCAGCACTGATTGATTAGCTTGTTAGATGTCTAATCATTAGGCTACTAATAATCAAGTTTTAGTTTGGTCTGTCTCATCTGTGGAACATGCCTAGTACACTGTATTTTATTTTCACTTGTATCATATCTGCTCTGACAAATGTTATTTGTACACTTGAGTTCTATGAAATAAGGGAGTTGGGACATTCAACTCTTACAGTGCTCACTCACTTCAAATCACTGCAGTGCACAGCCCCTTCTCCCACACACACACACATCACCCCATGCAGTGCTGCTGTAGGCCCATAAGCAGAGTGTTCTGGTGGCCCCTGCGCAGAACATACACTGCTTGTGAAATCCTCAAAGTAAGCATAGGTGTACTTTTAGCTACTCGATATGTTCATGCAAAATAACGTCCCAATGTTATTTCCCTGTGTGCGTCACTCATGACTACTCTTATAGTAAATCTGAAAAGACTCGTCAGCGATTACCACATTACCTACATTTTTTACATTTTACTCATTTAGCAGACGCTCTTATCCAGAGCGACTTACAGTAGTGAGTGCATACATTTCATACTTTTTTCATACTGGCCCCCCGTGGGAATCGAACCCACAACCCTGGCGTAGCAAGCGCCATGCTCTACTGACTGAGCTACAAGGGAGCTTATCCTCTACTACGGCTTATCCCCTTAGCCTTAATCATTTGACGGGACTTTGACTTGTAATGGATGCCTGAACTGTAATAAAACTAAAAAAGCAATCAACATATTGATGCGTTTGCATAATTTGCCACTACAAGTACTTGAAGCATATTACATCTGATTGGCTATGCTGCTCCTAGTCTTACACATCTTCTATAGGATGCCAATAACCCTGTTTTTCCTCTGTATTTTACGCATAACTGAATTATGTTCAAAACCCAACCAGGTAAGACTAATAACCCTGTACAATGTCACTGAGGTGTGTTCTCTGTCGCCCGCCTCAGTATAAGTCGTGGGGTGAAGTTCTGCATTCTGAGGGTGCTGCTGGAGTTGTAGTTTTTGCTGAGAGCACCCAAGACACCTGCCCGCACACACTGGCCCTGCCCTCAGTGTCAAAGAACTGACAGAGACGACCGCCGTGCACACAGACGCTATGGAGTGAGTGATGGTTATTTAACCCCCATCGGTTGTTGTTAACGCCTACTTTTTTGACACTCAGGTTGTATGTGGTGCCAGTGAGATTCTCACTCCCCAATGTCCAATTGTGCCCAACCTCCTGTGCTTATCCTTCCTCAAATTACCACGTGCCACTAATATTATAAGCACCAAATTCCTAATTTGTACACACATGCCTTTCCCTGACCGTAGGCTTAGAGCGCTAAATAGTAGCCTGGTCCTATAGCGTGACATTTTTCAGAGTTGTTTTATCTATTTACTATTAGATGCTTGTTAACTATGACCCATGCCCAGATTTGCAATTCAGGCAATATAAAACAAACCCTGCTACAAGTGGATTGCAACATACATATTGCCCCCTCCACACCGTTCTCATGTCCTGTTGTCTGAACAGCCAGTGGACACTCGTGTGCATTTGTTTATTCATGAAAAATGTCAATTGTATTTTATTATTGAGTTAGTTTTGGTTTGTCTATGAATTGAAATGTGATGTGCAGCTCCTGTACAGCCACATAAGTATGACGTTATGGTGCTTTTATATATGGTAATGGTAGTTATTGTCTTGGATTACTTGTGCTTATTCTGGATATTTTTTACAGCAGGATATGCACCACACTAGATATAAATATATGTACAACTGATTTTAAGGAAAATTATTATACTACCAACACATGGACATCTGAAGACTGATTTTAAGATGCTACACAATCACAAAAAAAATGAATTTGTGCAAGTCACAGGGCTGGAGCATGAGATGTTTCAATACTATTTTTGATATCTTGGTGATGCTGTTGATCTAATATAATCTGAACAAGGTCAACAACAGTTCATTAGGAACATTCCCTGCCACTCGGTTATTTATATATAAAGATGAGTAGTGTTATCTTGCAGTGACACGGTTGATAATTGTGGTTTCACCTGTCTCCCTCCTCCACCAGTCGGTCCCCCACCACCAGCGCCCTGATGGCCAGCAACGTGACCAACAAGACGGACCCTCGCTCGCTCAACTCCCGGGTCTTCATCGGGAACCTCAACACGCTACTGGTCACCAAGACTGATGTGGAGGCCATCTTCAGCAAGTATGGCAAGATCGTGGGCTGTTCTGTGCACAAGGGCTTTGCCTTCGTCCAGTTCGTCAACGAGAGATGCGCCCGGGCTGCCGTAGGGGGCGAGGATGGACGCATGATCGTGGGACAGGTGCTGGGTAAGGACTAAAGCCAGCCTCTGGGGCTGGTGAGCAATACCTCAAATTGGCCTCAGGGTTCTTTGGGTAATGAACAAAACTGATATTTTAGGGTGCAGTATCTGGCCTGCTTGGAGATTGAGAACAGTTTTTAAACGTGGCTCTTTGTGAGGACGGAATATGGATAAAGATTGTATTTCCAACTGCCAACCAAGACTGACTGTCTCTGTCCTCTCTTCCTCAGACATTAACTTGGCCGGAGAACCCAAACCCCACAGGTCAAAGACCACAAAGCGCTCTGCGGGAGACATGTACAGGTCTGATTCAATGTAAAGAACCACGTTTTTAAATACCTAATATTAAAATGTGAACCAGGTGTCTTTCCTCTTCTGCATCTCCCAATCATACTCTCTTGCTCTGATAATTCCTCTTCTCCACTGTATACATGTATATTTTTTTGACAACTCTTTTTCTTCTCCCCACAGCAGTCCCACGTTTGATCTGGACTACGACTTCCAGAGAGATTACTATGACCGGTGAGTCCAGTGCTTTGTCTGTTCCCACATCCCATGTTCTTTTAGCTCTAGTTAGCAAAACTTAATATGCAAGAGGAATTGGTGTAAAGGAAATGAAGTTGGTTCATTCATGACTCTATTCTCTATTCTCAGAGTGTACTCCTACCCATCCCGCGTGCCCCCCCCTCCTCCTCCACCCCTGTCCCGAGCAGTGATCCCGTCCAAGCGCCTGCGGGTCAGCATGACTGGAGGGGGCAGCCGCCGCACCAAGGCCAGTTTCTCCTCCAAGACCAGCCAGAGGGCATCGTCAAGAACAAGTCAGTGCCCAGCCCTCTTGCTCTAGCCACTCAACTAACACACTACTCGTAATACACTTACTTGCATGCTAGCGTAGTTATAGCACCCTGGTGCAGTACATGCTGTCAATGCTCACGGTGCTGGGCTTGAGATTAATTATGTAGCTAATAACACTTGTCACACAGAGTTTCATTAGGCAGTGGGGTCTAAAGAGCTATCTCTGAAACCTTTATCTCCTCCTGATTTCTCTCTCTCTCTCTCTCTCTCCTCTCTCTCTCTCTCTCTCTCTCTCTGTCTCTCTGTCTCTCTCTCTCTCTCTGTCTCTCTCTCTCTCTCTCTCTCTCTCTCTCTCTCTCTCTCTCTCAGTGAAAACAGATGACCTGCAGACCATCAAGAAGGAGCTGACATTGATTAAACACAAAGTAGACTACCTGCTGGAGAGCCTAGGCCGCATGGAGAAGGACCACGGCAAGAAGTCTGGTAGGGTGCAGGAGGGTCTCCTGAACCATGTGTTGTTCAAAGTTTATAACATAAAAACATATTCATGAGCTGGTTTGTACTGTGAATGTCTACCCGCAATCTCCGTATTCAGCAGACTTGTATGCACAGATGATGGATTTAATCGTTTTATCTGTCTGGTTTGACCCGTTTCTCTCGCACTCGCTCTCTCTCTGGGCAGAGGGGAAAGGTGCCAAGCCTGAACCTGGAGCGGTGTCCTCACTGCAGCACTCCAGCAACAAGAAGGAGGAGAGCATCAAGAGGGAGAGGGAGAGGGAGAACCAGGAGCTCAACGACTCTGAGGAGGAGGGGGACCTGCTAGAAGAGGAGGTGAGATGGAGGGGGAAGAGGAGAAAATGTAATGATGCTGCAAAAGATGAATGGCAATTTATTTATTCTTATTTGATTATTTGTACTCACCACCTAATCTGGTCTCAGGTAAAGAGTCAAGAAAGGGAGGATGATGACGATGAAGAGGAGGAAGGAGAGCATGTGGATGGAGACGATGATGGTGACAGTGTCAACGGAGATGAGGACTCTTAGACAACAGAGATGGATGCACACTTGTACAGACAAACACATCCACACAACTTCCAGTGGGACCTCCGACTCCTATTTTAATACCCACACTATGAAACGTGAGAAAAACGTCATCACACACTCACTCACCTGCCCCCACAACCACCCTTCCATTGTCCCACAGGTATAAACATTTTCTTGACGCAATTTTGTTTGTCCCCGTTTCAGCCCCCTCCTATCATTGTGTTATACATCTAGCATTGTCCTGCAGCCAGGTACATTGGAACTAGCTGTAGGTAGTGAGCAGTATTACGTGATTTGCTGTGCTGCTGTTCCTCATTTGACCAGCAGAGAGCAGAAATGGCCATTTATTGGCATTACTAGGATTGGTAATCAAAAGATCACACAACTTTAAAGATTTAGTTAAGGTTTGAAGAAAATTGAAGAAATTGGCCCACCTGAGCATGTATGTTCCTTATTTTCATGTCATTATTTTTTATACTACTCTGTCTAAGTTGTACTGTAATAATAAATTGCAAATAAATACTCAAATTGATGAATGCTTCTTTATTGAATTGAAGCAGGTTTTCAGATGCAAGCCTTATTCATCAGGATTGATTCATTGTGTTTGGGTGATGATAGACCAACAATGAGTAACTGATATCATATGTGTACTGTGGATCACCACCATTATCTTGCCATGAAAATGTTAGCCAACGGAGGGAACTTTGTTTGGATGTCAGATCACTGCAAACAGTCCCCTCTCATATGCTTTATCGCGGTGACACTTAAAGACCCAACCAGGCATGCAAACAGATGGTGCTTTGGTGTTCAGATAGGTAGTAGGTACACATAATTGTCATGGAAACAATGGTTTATCAAACCATGGTCTGCCTCGAAATCCAATAATGGACGTTGAACAGCTTCATGTCTAGTGCACCACATTGAATGCATCTATTGGAGACAAACTGCTTATGTCTGGCCTTCATTTCTGGGCTTCTTCAAGCAGAGTGCTTCATGTACAGTCGTGGTCAAAAGTTTTGAGAAAGACACAAGTATTGGTCTCCACAAAGTTTGCTGCCTCAGTGTTGATGATGGCAATATGCATATACTCCAGAATGTCATGAGTGATCAGATGAATTGCAATTAATTGCAAAGTCCCTCTTTGCCATGAAAATGAACTTAATCCCAAAAAACATTTCCACTGCATTTCAGCCCTGCCACAAAAGGACCAGCTGCCATCATGTCAGTGATTGTCTCGTTAACACAGGTGAGAGTGTTGATGAGGACAAGGCTGGAGATCACTCTGTCATGCTGATTGAGTCAGAATAACAGACTGGAAGCTTTAAAAGGAGGGTGGGGCTTGAAATCATTGTTCTTCCTCTGTCAACCATGGTCACCTGCAAGGAAACACGTGCCATCATCATTGCAAAAAGTGCTTCACAGGCAAGGATATTGCTGCTAGTAAGATTGCACCTAAATCAACCACCTCCTGAGTGGCGCAGTGGTCTAAGGCACTGCATCGCAGTGCTAACTGTGCCACTAGAGATCCTGGTTCGAATCCAGGCTCTGTCGCAGCCGGCCGCGACCGGGAGACTCATGGGCGGCGCACAATTGGCCCAGGGTAGGGGAGGGAATGGCCGGCAGGGATGTAGCTCAGTTGATAGAGCATGGCGTTTGCAACGCCAGGGTTGTGGGTTCGATTCCCACGGGGGGCCAGTATAAAAAAATAAAAATGTATTCACTAACTGTAAGTCGCTCTGGATAAGAGCGTCTGCTAAATGACTAAAATGTAAAATATATCGGATCATCAAGAACTTCAAGGAGAGAGGTTAAATTGTTGTGAAGAAGATGTCAGGGCGCCCAAGAAAGTCCAGCAAGCGCCAGGACTGTCTCCTAAAGTAGAATCAGCTGCGGGATCGGGGCACGGGTGGACAAACAAAAACCCACAAACTCCAAGCATTGATTATGCAAGAATGGGCTGCCATCAGTCAGGATGTGGCCCAGAAGTTAATTGACAACATGCCAGGGCGGATTGCAGAGGTCTTGAAAAAGAAGGGTCAACACTGCAAATATTGACTCTTTGCATAAACTGAATGTCATTGTCAATGAAAGCATTTGACACTTATGGAATACTTGTAATTATACTTCAGTGTACCATAGTAACTATTGACATAAAGATCTACAGTGAGGGGAAAAAAGTATTTGATCCCCTGCTGATTTTGTACGTTTGCCCACTGACAAAGAAATGATCAGTCTATAATTTTAACGGTAGGTTTATTTGAACAGTGAGAGACAGAATAACAACAACAAAAATCCAGAAAAACGCATGTCAAAAATGTTATAAATTGATTTGCATTTTAATGAGGGAAATAAGTATTTGACCCCCTCTCAATCAGAACGATTTCTGGCTCCCAGGTGTCTTTTATACAGGTAACGAGCTGAGATTAGGAGCACACTAATGTGCTCCTAATCTCAGTTTGTTACCAGTATAAAAGACACCTGTCCACAGAAGCAATCAATCAATCAGATTCCAAACTCTCCACCATGGCCAAGACCAAAGAGCTCTCCAAGGATGTCAGGGACAAGATTGTAGACCTACACAAGGCTGGAATGGGCTACAAGACCATCGCCAAGCAGTTTGGTGAGAAGGTGACAACAGTTGGTGCGATTATTCGCAAATGGAAGAAACACAAAATAACTGTCAATCTCCCTCGTCCCGGGGCTCCATGCAAGATCTCACCTCGTGGAGTTACAATGATCATGAGAACGGTGAGGAATAAGCCCAGAACTACACGGGAGGATCTTGTCAATGATCTCAAGGCAGCTGGGACCATAGTCACCAAGAAAACAATTAGTAACACACTACGCCGTGAAGGACTGAAATCCTGCAGTGCCCGCAAGGTCCCCCTGCTCAAGAAAGCACATGCTCGTCTGAAGTTTGCCAATGAACATCTGAATGATTCAGAGGAGAACTGGGTGAAAGTGATGTGGTCAGATGAGAACAAAATGGAGCTCTTTGGCATCAACTCAACTCGCCGTGTTTGGAGGAGGAGGAATGCTGCCTATGACCCCAAGAACACCATCCCCACCGTCAAACATGGAGGTGGAAACATTATGCTTTGGGGATGTTTTTCTGCTAATGGGACAGGACAACTTCACCGCATCAAAGGGACGATGGACGGGCCATGTACCATCAAATCTTGGGTGAGAACCTCCTTCCCTCAGCCAGGGCATTGAAAATGGGTTGTGGATGGGTATTCCAGCATGACAATGACCCAAAACACATGGCCAAGGCAACAAAGGAGTGGCTCAAGAAGAAGCACATTAAGGTCCTGGAGTGGCCTAGCCAGTCTCCAGACCTTAATCCCATAGAACATCTGGGGAGGGAGCTGAAGGTTCGAGTTGCCAAACGTCAGCCTCGAAACCTTAATGACTTGGAGAAGATCTGCAAAGAGGAGTGGGACAAAATCCCTCCTGAGATGTGTGCAAACCTGGTGGCCAACTACAAGAAACATCTGACCTCTGTGATTGCCAACAAGGGTTTTGCCAGCAAGTACTAAGTCATGTTTTGCAGAGGGGTCAAATACTTATAACATTTTTGACATGTGTTTTTCTGGATTTTTGTTTTGTTATTCTGTCTCTCACTGTTCAAATAAACCTACCATTAAAATTATAGACTGATCATTTCTTTGTCAGTGGGCAAACGTACAAAATCAGCAGGGGATCAAATACTTTTTTCCCTCACTGTAAGAACACTGAAGCAGCAAACCTTGTGGATACCAATACTTGTGTCATTCTCAAAACTTTTGACCACGACTGTATGTAACTGGTGGTGAGAAAATGTCATCTTGAAGGATGGTTTGCATTCTTTCAACATGTGTAAGCTACACTTTAAATGTAAGTAAATGCAGTGTGATAAATTGTCATGGCATGTTTTTGGCTACAAAATGCTTCTTAGCTTCCCAAAGTTATGTCTGAGTTTTGTAGGAAATTAACCAGAGAAAGGAGAGCATAACATTTACATTTTAGTCATTAGAGCATAACAGGATAATATTTATTCAAGGATCAACAAATACAAAATTGGCACAGAGTATATAGTGTTTGAGTATTAGAGGAAGAGAAGTCATTAACATCAGTGTTATAACAGAATTGTAGCTTATACATCTATCAACCAATTAATTCCTTTTACTGTAGCATATGTGCTTCATGCTTGTTCCCTTTCACACACAGATTAAAATACCAAGATCCCACATTATCAGTTGTGCTAACAGTAGCATTTCATTGTACATGACAGTAATTCATCTCAGATACTGAGTCAATTTTCCTTCAAATATTTAGTGTAATAATTTACTTCATTGTATCTTTGCATTTGTGTTGAAGCTGGCTAAACTTAATCAGGTCCTCTTCAGGAAAGATGATATGTCAGCACACTGAGCAGGACAAGCACAGCTAAAAGGAAAGGGTGGATTGACTGGATGTTATGGACCCGACAGAACACTAGAAAAGACATGACCCCAGCAGATCTATGGTTGATTAAGGGCAACTTCTAGCTCAAGCCTGACTTGCTTACCTTGGGATGTGAGTGCGCTGCTGCCTGCTGTTGTTGGGGCTGTGGTTGTTGCGACATTGCTGTTAGGTTGAGCCAGGTTCAACAGCTTACTGGTCAAGCGTATGTTGATGTCACCAATACCCATACCTGAATAAGTAGGGATGAAACAGAAGGCAGATGTTTAGAAGATCAAATTATTACAGTGGGAGAGAGAGGCTGTGTGCCTGTGTGCATGGTTCAAATATTATGTAAACACACTTACCGTTCGTGACATTTCCCACAGCGAGGAAGGTGACGAAGGTGATGTGACTGGTCCTGGTTGTTGCATTAACCGCTGGCACATTGAATTCACACTGGATGACAGTCCCATTGACTGAGCTAGTAATGTTCTTCACAATCTGTGAACACAAGAAAAAGTGTTACATTTGCCTACAGTCAACAACTGACCTCAATAGTGTCAATTGATTTGATGAAAGCCTCTTCACCCTCTGTGTCAGAGAAATTGTGTTGTTGAGGTTGTTGCGCTGGGCCGAGCGGAAGAAGAAACTGACACTACTGTTCTGGGCACAGATAAAAACCATAGACGTGCCCTATACAGAGAAGAGAGAGGGTGAGCATTGGTTACTGACAATCATAATTTCCTCTACTGCCTTCATGCAAATACAACAGCAATTTAATATCCAATGAAAGGCCCCTTAAGGTCTTGTCTTTGGGAAGTCCAAAAAGTGATGAAATTATGTGGTTATGGGTTCACCTTGTTTTTCTGGTCTTGTGTGTGTGTGTGTGTGCGTGCATGTCTTACCTCTGTCTCGTTGGCAGTCAGCCCTAGAGCAATATATCCACTGGAGTCCCCACGGAGCTCAACTAACAGGTCTACTCCGTTAGGAGGAGAGGGGGCAGTAGTGACTATGGAAGCGAAGAGGCAGCTTGTTTTTCCTGTAGGATCACATTGTTCTGGGGTCTCTACACACAGCTTTTTCAATCCACAGCCTGTCCGTGTGATATTCACCTGTCAAACCACACACAGAAAATCTAGTTCAAGTTATGCACACATCTTAAAGTTAGAGTTAATTTCAAAATCTATATTTGTGGGCTGTTGACTCATCGACATCAGACCACTTTTAACTTCTAAAATCCTCTGACAAACTTTGACTTGGGAGTGAACTATTACTTTAAGTTAGGATCTGGTCAATAAAGGTGTTTCTGGGAAGAGTAGATTAAGAACCTTCGTATTATTGGCAAACGTGAGATGTCCGTTTCCACTAACACCTGGTGCCAGGCAGCCCATCACCATAGTGACCACAAAGAGAAGTCCTCTGTCCATTCCTTCATGGGAACATGGTAAATAAAAAAAAGTATGTTTTACATAACTTTAAAAACACTCACTGTTATCATTAATCTGTTCTGAAAGTAGAGAAATACATTTTTGTCATATTTTAAGAAGCCATCAACCAAACGTGTTAAATTAAAAATATTCTTAAATACAAATAGAATACTTACCTGGTCCTGTCCTTAGTAAGCCTATCCTTTAGCCAATGCACTGTCTCAGCAGGATAAATGCTTTCTAAATTCTGTAATATGCTTTTTACTCCCTTTTATCTACATGTTCATGTGGGAGGAGCCCCAGCATCCATGAGGCAGGGCGTGGATTGGCCGGTAGAGGTGAGTTACCACGCAATGGAATAATTCTGTATGTATGTATGAATGCAGAAATTCAGTTCCTCATTCACCCTGTCACCTTGTGTATTTTCAAGAAGGAAACAATTAGTCTAGACCAGTGGTTCTCAATCCTGGTCCTGGGTACCCAAAGGGGTGCACATTTTAGTTTTTTCCTTAGCACTACACAAATTATTCAAATAATCAACTCATCATCAAGTTTTTATGATTTTAATCAGCTGTGTAGTGATAAGGCAAAACAAATAAAAATAAGGGCACCTCTTTGGGTCCCTAGGACCAGGTTTGAGAACCACTGGTCTAGACCAATTGTTGACAACATATCTGATCTGATTGGTCAAAAGACCAATTATTGGCAAAGGATTTTGATGTGATTGGTCAAAAGACCAATTATTGGCAAAATGTTATAATAGGGCTGCCTGTGTAAACCCTATATTGATAGATACAGACCTGCATGCATCCTCTCCATTAGGTTTGGGCGGTATAACAATTAGTTATTGTGAAATCACACAGAAGGAAATAATGTTCAAGAAAAAATAACTGTCTGACAATCAAATCAAATCAAATCAAATATTATTTGTCACATGTGGTGAATACAACAGGTGTAGACCTTACAGTGAAATGCTTACTTACAAGCCCTTAAACAACAATGCAGTTTTAAGAAAAATAAGAGTTAAGAAAATATTTACTAAATAAACTAAAGTAAAAAGAAAGTAACACAATAAAATAGCAATAACAAGGCTATATACAGGGGGTACCGGTACCGAGTCAATGTGCGGGATTACAGGTTAGTCGAGGTAATTGAGGTAATATGTACAGTGGGGAAAAAGGTATTTAGTCAGCCACCAATTGTGCAAGTTCTCCCACTTAAAAAGATGAGAGAGGCCTGTAGTTTTCATCATAGGTACACGTCAACTATGACAGACAAACTGAGGAAAAAAAATCCAGAAAATCACATTGTAGGATTTTTAATGAATTTATTTGCAAATTATGGTGGAAAATAAGTATTTGGTCACCTACAAACAAGCAAGATTTCTGGCTCTCACAGATCTGTAACTTCTTCTTTAAGAGGCTCAGAGAGACTTCAGGCTCCTCTGTCCTCCACTCGTTACCTGTATTAATGGCACCTGTTTGAACTTGTTATCAGTATAAAAGACACCTGTCCACAACCTCGAACAGTCACACTCCAAACTCCACTATGGCCAAGACCAAAGAGCTGTCAAAGGACACCAGAAACAAAATTGTAGACCTGCACCAGGCTGGGAAGACTGAATCTGCAATAGGTAAGCAGCTTGGTTTGAAGAAATCAACTGTGGGAGCAATTATTAGGAAATGGAAGACATACAAGACCACTGATATTCTCCCTTGATCTGGGGCTCCACGCAAGATCTCACCCCGTGGGGTCAAAATGATCACAAGAACGGTGAGCAAAAATCCCAGAACCACACGGGGGGACCTAGTGAATGACCTGCAGAGAGCTGGGACCAAAGTAACAAAGCCTACCATCAGTAACACACTACGCTGCCAGGGACTCAAATCCTGCAGTGCCAGACGTGTCCCCCTGCTTAAGCCAGTACATGTCCAGGCCCGTCTCAAGTTTGCTAGAGTGCATTTGGATGATCCAGAAGAGGATTGGGAGAATGTCATATGGTCAGATGAAACCAAAATAGAACTTTTTGGTAAAAACTCAACTCGTCGTGTTTGGAGGACAAAGAATGCTGAGTTGCATCCAAAGAACACCATACCTACTGTGAAGCATGGGGGTGGAAACATCATGCTTTGGGGCTGTGTTTCTGCAAAGGGACCAGGACGACTGATCCGTGTAAAGGAAAGAATGAATGGGGCCATGTATCGTGAGATTTTGAGTGAAAACCTCCTTCCATCAGCAAGGGCATTGAAGATGAAACGTGGCTGGGTCTTTCAGCATGACAATGATCCCAAACACACCGCCCGGGCAACAAAGGAGTGGCTTCGTAAGAAGCATTTCAAGGTCCTGGAGTGGCCTAGCCAGTCTCCAGATCTCAACCCCATAGAAAATCTTTGGAGGGAGTTGAAAGTCCGTGTTGCCCAGCGACAGCCCCAAAACATCACTGCTCTAGAGGAGATCTGCATGGAGGAATGGGCCAAAATACCAGCAACAGTGTGTGAAAAGCTTGTGAAGACTTACAGAAAACGTTTGACCTGTGTCATTGCCAACAAAGGGTATATAACAAAGTATTGAGAAACTTTTGTTATTGACCAAATACTTATTGTGGACAGGTTTCTTTTATACTGATAACAAGTTCAAACAGGTGCCATTAATACAGGTAACGAGTGGAGGACAGAGGAGCCTCTTAAAGAAGAAGTTACAGGTCTGTGAGAGCCAGAAATCTTGCTTGTTTGTAGGTGACCAAATACTTATTTTCCACCATAATTTGCAAATAAATTCATTAAAAATCCTACAATGTGATTTTCTGGATTTTTTTTCCTCAGTTTGTCTGTCATAGTTGACGTGTACCTATGATGAAAACTACAGGCCTCTCTCATCTTTTTAAGTGGGAGAACTTGCACAATTGGTGGCTGACTAAATACTTTTTTCCCCCACTGTATGTTTCCCATGCCAATAAAGCCCTTAAATTGAAACTGAACTGAGAGAGAGAGAGAAAGAGAAAGAATGGACATTTTGTCTTGAATCAAGTCCATTTGGATTCGTTCCAGCTGAGAGGAAGTGATATACCTACAGTATACTTCCTCCTGTTGTGAAACAGCTTCCCCTAAAACTTGGTCCTCTGTAGCTCAGCATGGTAGAGCACGGCGCTTGTAACGCCAGGGTAGTGGGTTCGATCCCCGGGACCACCCATATGTAAAAATGTTTGGATAAAAGCGTCTGCTAAATGGCATATTATATTATTTAACTTTTATTGGGTTCATTATCAGCAGGTTAGACTCAGGTAAATCAGGTAAAAAGAACTACACATACTCAAGTTATGCTGGACAACCTTTCTGCTCAGATGCTGATTGTTGATTCCCTTTTGTAACTGGTTTTCAATCAAACTTTATTGGTTGATTGATTTGTAGCCTCTGCAGCTAATGCCTGAGGCTTGAGTTATCCTATTTATTACTAAGGGCTATGGCACGATAAACATTTAAAGGCAATGTTCAGTGTTTGCGGAGACTGCATTCTTTGTAGGCCTAAACGCTGCATATGTCAACTCAATGATACATTTTCCTTACATTTCAATTGCGATATAGTGCGGAAGATCACCCACTTGGGAGCCAGGCCCACCCAATCAGATTGAGCAAAACAAATGTTTTTTTTTTTTTTTTGGGGGGGGGGGTGTTTTTACCTAAACATGCATTTTTAGATCATTCGGTGTGGCAAAACAAATGATGTTAGAAGTTAGCTTTATTTTATTTTTTATCAGAAACCAACATCTCAAAAACATAAACTTACATATAAAAACAATAATTATTATCAAACAAAGTGAGCAGAACTTCAAGTAACAGGAATTTACATTTGAGTCATTCAGCAGACGCAATTAGGGTTAAGAGCCTTGCTCAAGGGCACATACAGATTTTTTACCTAGTCGGCTCGGGGATTCAAACCAGCAACCTTTTGGTTACCGGGCCAATACTCTTAACCGCTAGGCTCCCTGCTGCCCACATGTGAATGTGACCCATGTATCAGTAACCATGAAATAAAGAACACATAAAGGTATGCACGCATGACTGTAAGTCGCTTTGGATAAAAGCGTCTGCTAAATGGCATATTATTATTATAACTGGATACAAAACATTAGTATAAATACACCAAAAGTAGTTTGTGAGGCCAGCATTCAAATTGTGCAAAAAACACCTGTGAGTTAACGACACAATGATCTCTGACATTGGAAGAGTGGTCATGGCAAACATTTAAACAGAGAAAGAAAACCCTGAGGATATTCACATGAGCAGCAAGCATTGTTCTATAAAGTACGGTGGCCGGGAAGTGCAAAGCAACATTACAAAGAATGAAACACTTTTACAAAGCTCGAGACAAATTAACATTTTGGAAAACAAATTTACATTTTGGAAAACAAATTTACATTTTATAAAACAAATTTACATTTTATAAAACAAATTTACATTTTAGAAAACAAATTAACAAGACGCAAAACACTTTTACCAGTCCCGAAACAAATTTACAAACGACAGATTCGTCACGGAAAGGGAATGTACCATATACCGGAAGTGACGAGCGTGGTCTTTTCGTGTTTTTGTTGTGGAGTTTATGGCGTCAAAGAAGTTTATGGTGACCGCCCGAACATGGACTGCGGCCGAGGGATGTTTTGCCCGTTTTGTGGCAAACACATGAACAGCTTAACGCGGTTTTGCTTTACGTGTGGTCGGTGTTTGGAGTTTTTAAAGGACACGGACCAGACGGAAACACCAGACATACTGCATCATTGCGTTCAATATTTTAACGAGGGTCACTCGTACGCTGTAATCGTGGACATGATGTCAAGTCTACACGGTGTAAACATCAGCTTGAGGACTCTTAAAAGTAAACTGATCGAAGCCGGGTTGTACCGCAGAAAGGATTATTCCTCGCCAAACGCCGTGAGTAACGCCATCAGATTTGAACTTCGTGGACCTGGACAACTACTGTCGTAGTAAATATTAAAATGTTATAGCTTGGTCTGACTAAAATCTTGTGCATGACCCATTTTAATGTTAGGAGCTTGTTTTCAATCAATGCTGTTCCTATGCAAGAACAATGGACAGAGCCAATATCTTCTCAAGGACAACTCCCACGCCACAGGCCACAATCTGGTTGCTCCCCACGAGACTTTCCTTTGAGAACATACACACATTCACACACACATCTCCATGCATACGCACACTCATCC